TGCTCTTCTTCTCCTCCTGGAGCTGAGAGGGAGGAGACAGATGAAGAGGGACATTGTATTTGATTTAGTACACTGCCTTACTGTTTGGATAGATGTTTTCTCCACACATATTTGATTTCTATGAGTTACTCAGAAGTAATAAAAGATCAACCTCTGTGTCCTTGTTCTGCAGCTCCTGCTTCAAGGTCTTGACTTCCTCTGCAGAATTCATCCTGCTGTCCTTCTCATCTTGGAGCTGCTTCTCCAACTGAAAGGTCAGAGACAGAAGGAGAGAAACTTTGTATTTGATGAAGTACAATGCAGTACTGTCTGGACAGATGTTTTCTTTAGATTTATTTCAGTAGTTATTTTTCCATTGAGATAAAAGTCACATATTTCACATAGTTTCACATATATTCATTTTCATTTTAATCCTTTCCAGCCTCTCCAGCTCATAAGTATTTATTAGTGATATGTTTTAATTTGTTGGTTTATTCTCTCTTAGCTCATAAACAACAGCGAGGGACTTCAGCTTTCATGTTTTGGTTTCAACTTTTGCCTTTGGACACAATCTGCTTTAAAAGAGGACTTTCCCCCTGTCTGCAGACTACATGATGAGTGGAAGACAACATATAGGACATGACTGTGACACGCTGTAAACATTAAGCTGTCTTCTGTTTTTCTTTAGATGTGTTTAACTGCTCATTGTTTTTAGTTTATTACACACACATCCATTGTTATTGTTCTTTGTTTCATATAGTTAATAAATGAAAATAAAATCAGTGATACAAGCTTTCAGTGAGATAGTTGTTACAGTCAAAGACTGACAAGAACAAAGTGCAGTAGAAAAATAAAATTGAAGGGGAATTGATAAGAACTAACAGGGTGGCTGGAAAGAAAAAAAATCAGTGAAGTAGAATACAATACATACCTTCTGCTCCAGAACTGTAACCTTGTTCTCAGCTTCCTCCCTCCTCTGCTGCTCCTCTTGGAACTTCTGCCTGGAAACTAACCACTTGAACGAGAGAGAGGAGAGAAAGCCAGAAGGTACGTGTTCTTAGTGAGTATGAACAGTAACTTCAGAGTCAGAGACAAAGACTCGTCAAGTTTAACTGACCTTCACATATTAACAGTGGTTCCTCCTTATTACAACTAGACAGAGAAACTATCAAGCCTCTAGGTTTTATTTGTGCGTCTTATTTAAAGGGACTGTGTATAAGTTATCATTTCTTTTTTTATTGCCAGTGGGTGGGTGGATTCTCTGTTGCCTGCAACAACCTGTGGACTGAGTCTATGTAAAGGAATCAGGACAGGTTTTGTAGGAACATCCAAAGGATGCGTCCTGAGGGCCGTCATCACTTCAGCTCTGCTACAGTGCTAACAGTGTGCAACACCATCTAACATTAGCTACGTTGGTTTATCATCTTATTATAACTAACATATTAATTCTTCTACTTCATCCTTTCATTTACATCTTGTACATTTTTTGAAGCTTTAATTTATCAATTCTTTTTTTACCTTTCTATGTGCTCTCTGGCTTGGAAACACAAACCAATACCTCTGGCCTTTTTAGATCAAAATGTAATTTTCCTGCTCTTGTCTTTTCTCCCTCCACTGAAAGTGTCCTGTTTGTTAACTCACATGTTTGCTCTTCTTTTCCTCTTTTCTCTTCAAAGGCTTCATTTCTTCTCCAGAGGGATTCTCCCTTCCTCCTGTATCACGTTCATCTGAGGGGCTTCTCTTGGTCTCTGTGTCAAACAAAGGCAGCAGAGTTAAACTGTTGAACACATTAAAGTGCATTTTATAAAGGTATGACAGCACAGAGACATTTCAGTCTAAAATGAGCTTTGTCGAAATATGACACACGACAATTTTATGGATTGGAAATAAAGCAAAAAATAATGATAATAATAATAATTTACACAATGGCATAATTCATATCACTATCCCCCATCCTTGAGAATGACTTGAATCCAATGAATCTGTGACTTACTGGTTCTGTTGTTCCTCAGTTTACACACAAAAAAGACAAGTAACAGAATGAACAGGATGCAAACAGCCAAACTAACAACCAAACCAGTGATGGTGGAAGAAGAACTGGACTGGACCTTGAAGAAATCATCTGAAATTATATAAAAAAGACAAATGTGGCATTTATATAAAACTGAAGCTCTGTCATCTGAAACTAAAACAGTCAAACATCAAAAAAAATATATAAATCATGTTAACCTGGAACCTGGATGTGTGTCTCTGTGGTCTGGTTGATGTTCCTCTGTTGGACTCTACAGGTGAAGCTGTTGCTGTGTCTCTTCTCCACAGTCACTCTGCTGCTGACAGTATAGAGGTCATCAGGACCTCTGACTGTCTCTGTAGGTCCAGCAGAGAGGAGCTTTCCCTCACCGTCCAGCCACAACACCTCAGGCTCTGGATACCAGCCTGCAGACTCACACTGTAACACCACTCCCCCCTTGTCTCTGTCGATCCCTGCTAAACTGATGACAGGTGAGGACGCAGCACCTGATGATGAGCAAAAAGAAAAACAGTATTCAGCAATACAGTCACCACATCAATGATAAAAAGATGCACAAATGTAAATAAACAACTGCCAACCTAATGATCAAACATGTCCTCTGCATAAGTGTTGTCTGTCTGATTATTTCGTGTAAACCGTTCTGTTCCTCAGACCCTAGTTAGCTGTCAAAGCCAGAACATCAACCTGTCACTTATAACCACGGTTCCTGTATGACAACCAATCACAGTTGGTCCCTGAACTCATGATGGAGCTGCATGAAGTCACGATTTTTACTGTCGGCTACAGTAGAGTAGGAAATTCAAAAACAGTTCATGTCTGAAAGTTGGTCCTGGATCACTGCATATAAGGTAATGTGCTTGTTAAACTCCTTAAGGTATGGACATATAACTGACTACCAGGTGTGAATTAGCAAAGGCACAACCTGCTCTGCTCAGCCTCACTCTGCCTTTGATTAGCTTAACCTGACATTCTCACCCTTAACCCAACCAGTCTTACTCCTCTTGCCTAAATCTGACCAATTCATCCGACGAAGGCAATGAATTCAAGCAGAGGGAGAGTAGGGCGAGTCATGCCTTCACTATCTTAGGACACACAAATTTGCCTACAAGGTCCAGGGACCCTTAAGCCAGACCTTCTGTGTGAGTGGCTGAAAGCTCTGTTGATCCCACTACAATTCCTCTTTGGATGCACAGACTACACTGTAGATACACTATGTGTCCACTTACCAACAACAAGCTCAACAAAAGAGTCTATATTCAGTCTTGGAATGAAGCATCTGTATCTTCCTGCATCAGAAGGTCTCACATCAGAGAGCTTCAGTGAAATGTTTCCTCTCTTCAGTTCATCAGTGAACAGAGACGTTCTTCCTTTGTAGGATGGATCTTTATTCTCTATGAGGTCCTGCCCAGCACGCCATACAAAGGCAAAAACAGAACTCAGGCCAGATCTCGTCCACTCCAATGTCTTGGTAGCAACATCCACTGCAGGTTCCAGGTGACATGGTAAAATGATGTCATCACCGATTGTTGCCACTATTGGCTGAGGTGAACCCATCAACTGAGACTGACCTGGAAAGAAAATAAATATGTTTATTAAATCCTGCAGTAGGAGCTCATTCAATCTGTTCATCTCTGTGAGGGTTTGTGCACCATGATGCTGTGCTAGTAATGGCAGACGTGTTATAAATGAGCATTAAGGTGAGGCATTTGTGATGTCACTGCTTTTCATGTTTTTCATCTGATTTTTCTTAAAGCCACGTCATTAGTGAATCATCAGGTCAACATTTTAATGTAGCCAAAACTTTGGTTTATGACCAAAAAGCTGCAGAGCTAAAGCCATTCCCATCGACCTCTGCTGCACTTTGTACTCAGTGGTAATTAGTAAATGTTAGCATGTTAATATGTTAATATACTTAACTGAGACTTTGATCAACGTAGCTGCTGTAGAACATCTTCATAGTAGCCCAGTCATTGTTAGCGTATTAGTAATTTGATATTATCAAGTAGCTCAGAGGTAGAGCAGGTCCTTGGGCTGCTGAAGATGCTGAAGCACAAACTGCTCCTGATGACTGTTCTTTCATGTGTGTGTATGTGTGTGTGTGTGTGTGTGTGTGTGTGTGTGTGTGTGTGTATAAATAAATGGTATGGCAGCCTAGGCCACCAGTGTGTGACAGTGTGTGTGAAGTGTAAAAGCGCTTCAAGTGGTCTGAAGTAAAAAAAACAAAAAAAACAAATGCTATACAAGTGCAGTCCATTTACCATTTGCCATTTACAGCCTCAGTAAGCATGGCTGTAGACTTATCCTCTTACAATATATGAGATAGCCTATGTTTTACAAAGTTCAGTGTGTGAAGCTGTTCCACTAACCATGTCTCGTAGAAATTACGTATGTAACTTGCAAAAATGTTCATACTGAACATACCTACAAATGTTGACTACAGTGGATCTCATTTGTTATTCTAACAGTATTCACTTGTGACAACTCAGGGTCAAGTTGTTTTAGAGTCAGTTCATAATGACATCAATATCTGTAGACAACAAGTAGAAATGTTTTATATGTGGTTGTACAACCTGTTTTCATTCAAAAGACATCGAGGAGTCTGGGATTGAGAACGTGTTGCATAAGGTGTTACCTCAAAGCTCTTCTTTACCTTAGCACAGCCTCACTAGTTTTAGTGGCTATTAGTCTTGTTACAATATATGCAACACGTTGTGCAAAGTTCAATATATACGTCTCCTAGAAATGACATGAAATACAAAATATAATACATATCTGCAAGATGTTGACTGCAATGAATTTTATTTGTTATTCTTAAAACATTTGCCTGTAACAACTCAAGTATATTATGTTTTAGAGCCAGAAGTGAGTCTTTCACTTACACATTGTTTTTGCCATCTGAGTAAAAGTGTTTGAATAACTGAAGTGCCAGTGTCCAAAAACACTCAACAGCAGCCTTTAACCTTTCATTTACAGGCATTTATTGATGTGATTCTGTCATTATGTTTGATTCAAGGCCTCACTGTGTCCTTGAGCCTGTATTTGTGTGTGAGTTACCTCTACAAGAGTGTGTCAGGAGAATATGGAAAATCAAAACACTGAGGGGTCTGAGTGGAGACTGAAGGGACAGTCCATTCCTCTGACGAAGCATCTTGACGTTCTGAAAATCAGCAGAGACCAGCAATACATTATATGGAAAATAAGCTTTAGAGTCACAGCATTAAAACCACTGGCTGCTGAAGTGAATAATGTTCATCATCTTGTCACAATGTAATCTTCTGCTGGGAAACCTTGGGTCCTGATATTTATGTGGATGCCACTTGACACACACCACTACCCCAAACACTGTTGCAGACCCCTTCCTCCTTCAGCCAGACAATGGCCACAACACATTGCAAAAGCTGCTCAAAAATGGCAGAAGGAACATGACAAAAAGCTCAAGCCACTTCCAAATTCCGCATATCCCAATCTGATCGAGGATCTGAAGAATGGAGCGGTACCAAAGAGGTCCTGTGTCCATGCTTAGACAGGTCAGAGCCTAGTGTGATCCACAGTGGGGCCTCTGAGCTGTTGAGAAATGGACACAGAGCCTCTGGGGGCGTCCTGTGATGTCTGGCACTGCAGCATTGGTGGAGGATTCTTTGAGTCTTGTGGGTTACGATATGGTTGTTTCGGCACGTCCCATGGTTACTCAGCTAGATTGGGTTCTAGGGTGGCCATCGCTACCAGGGAGTTTTGTTGCCATGAGGGGGGGTACTTGGTCTGTAATGGTGTTTATGTGGGTGGAGGTTGTCAGGTGGCAAAACATGAAAGCCAGGACCAAAGGTTTCCCAGCAGCACATAGCACTGTAACAAAATGATCAATGATATTTACTTCACCCGTCACAGGTTTTAATGTTGTAGTTGATTGATGTGTATAATTAGCCGTCCTGCACCTGTGGAAATACCCTCAGTGTTAACTTCAGAACTGACACTGTAATGTCCATGTAATACGGTTAAACTTTCACTTTTGGCCACAAAATAAAATCCATGTATGTTGCAATCAGACAGTTATGATTTCACTTTTCTTGACAACTCAATAGTCAAAGACTATTTCTTAGTGAATGTAATGCTTTGCTTTGATTCTTACAGACTTGTTCAATAGTTGAGACCCCGTCACAGCCCTCTCTATGATACAGAGACCAGTGACTCTTTTTAAACTTGTAAACATTTTAAAATTTTCAACTAACAAGCATCATGTTCAGATGCATTTTAAAGATAAAAAAATAATCATAATAAAGGGTGACAAAATTTGAAATCATTAAATCACAAATATTCAAAATTTGAAATACATTTCATAGATTTCAACTTTTTATGCAGGTTTAAAAAAAGACTTAATAATCTGTTTCAGGACATCACCACAGAGCCCATAACACTGAATGCAGACCTACTTTTACTGTCGGTAAACTGTGATACTATTTTATGATATAAATTAGTTGAAACAGGTAAAATAGGCATAAATTCAGGAGACGACGTACCTGCTGCATGCTGTCAGTTGAACAGACTAAACGGCCAAAGTCTGTAAATCATTGACCAGCTATGACCTTATCTCACCATGGTTTATGGCGGTCTGCTGGCTGCATTACATTTAGTTTGTATTACAAATGATATCCTAACAGCTCATGCATTTCCCGCTGAACTTCCCAAAAGAGCCACTCAGTGTTTTCACGTGTTTTTCCAGAGTTGAACAGCGACAAAGTCACGTTGTAAGCCACATTATTAAACTCAGTAGAGGATTTGATTCTGCTTTTATACACTAAGTTTCACTTTGAGTATCATCTGAACTTTGAGCCTGTTGCTAGGTAACTCATTACCACTGTAAAATATTACAGCTGCAATTAAAACTATCAGGAATAATAAAAATGTTTCTTTGTTCTTAATTTAGGAAAAAGGGTGCGTTCACCAAATGGACGTTAGGTGTATTATCTTACTGCTGAGAGCAGAACAGGACGTTTTAGTCCGTTTAGTGGTTCAGTTGTTTCTGCAGTGCAATGTGTTTACTGCATTAAGTTGTCATGGTTACAGCATGTTTACTCTCTGCAATGACAATTAAGTTGAAGCTTATCTAATCTACAGTATGAGTTCTTTCTATAAAGTGAGTGACTGATTTAAAGAGAAGAATCCAAAGAAGCTTTGCTGAGTTCAGACCTTAGTGTACTGTATTACAATGCTGACTGTGGCTTTTAAAGGAGAAATCCAGTATTTTCACTTTGGGCCTCATTTCTGGGTTGGTTATGATGAAACTGAGTAGTTAAAACCAAAATTGTGATGATTGCTCCTTTTTGGAGAATTTGGCTTTCCTCTGCCTGGCTTAACACTGCTGCCTATGGCCACAAATTCACTTCCTGTTGGGTTTAGAGAATGGCTCCAAGAGGCTTTTCTGTACGTCTTGGGATGTTCCATATGCCTGCCAAGTCTTGTACACAAAGGTCATACCAGCTTTGGGGGCTGCATTGTTACAATCTTTTAGGGGGCACTCCTGAGCCATTTATTTGCAACCGAGCATGTTACCCTCAAAATATATTTTTTTTTACCAGATGTGATATGTAGAGGAACAGCCTCTCTGGACTTCCCTTAAACCAGTATTATCAATGAACAAGACAACAAGAGACCATCGGGGGTCAAATGTTTAGGACACAACCTGTGTATTACCCCCGACTGGACAAACACTTCTTTCAGGCACCCTTCGGCCAAAAGGATGTAGAAAGTCACTTGGGATCCCTCAAGTTTCATCTTAAAGTATCCAACCTTGGGGCAAAATGCGGTGATGAACGAGCCACTAGTTGTCGTGAGACGATGCTTCTTTTCTCAACCACATCCTGTCCATTCGCATTGTCCCGGGGAAATCACGCCCTCCCCTCTCTTACCAAATGTTTCTGTGTGACAAAACTGAAATGTCTGTTGGAAGTGAAATTATACATTTATCCATATTATGTGTTTGGAGTTGTAGAAATATAATTAGGGTTCATTAATCAACTTGTTTGCATGAATATGTGCTTCCTCATTTTGTTTATCATTATATGTCGCAACTATAGATTAGTCTCAATTGTATTCGTGTTAATTGGATGCTAAGGACCGATTTTGACCATAATGAGAAGAGTATGTGCCTNCCGATGAAAGAAATTGAATTGTTATTTCTTCTTCATGTCTCACTAGAGCTACGTATCGGGTAGTGACAGCAACACTGCCCCCACGGTTCCCGGTGGTACTGCTCCGTTTGGCCCATATCCGTAAGCTTTATGGAAACGTGCAAAAATACAGACGAAATGAACGCATAGCACGGACAGAAGGCTCTGTCCGTATCCGGATCCATATTTAATGCTGAGCATAAATGGGCCTTTAGGAGGTTATTCACTGAGTGCCTTTCTCTAGAGCACAAACTTCTTGTGTTTATTTGAATTCATGTTGTAAGCTTATATTCAGGGCTGTTTCAAGACACTCTGGGGGCCCTAGGCAAGAGGCACCTTGGAGCCCCCCCCGCCCCCGCCCCCCCCGATACCAGTGAAAGTATGATACCAGTGAAAGTATGATACCAGTGAAAGTATCATGGTTCTGAGTAGTATCACGATGCCACAGCAAAAATGAGGCAGATGTGCCTTTTGTCATTTAGAAAAAGATAAATCCTTTTTCTATAATACATCAATGATATTTCCACAGACAGTTAATACTGTTTAATGTCCAGTTATAAATGACATGGATCAAAGATTTGTGGCTGTGTTTCAGTTAATAAAAATACATTCATTCTTATAATCATAACATATCTTCCAGGCATGTCTGCTGGAATTACAAGAATTGTTGAGAGTGGTCATGATCAGCTCGGGCAGATGGAACATGGCTGCCTAATGATGATCTGCCATCTACTGAATGCACACACAAGTCAGAAATGGAAAGTGAATGCACCTCATGAGAGCACATGGAAAACAACACTTCATTCATTACCCTCGCTTATGTTTTAAAAGACTGGTAGGTAGTTGTAGTTATGATGATACAACTTGCTTGTTTTCCCTAATTATCCCATGCTCGTGCTTTATGAGGACATCTTGTGGCCACAAGTCATCACAGCAGTTCCATTTGTAATTCCATTCATGATCATTACTGCATGACGTACTGGGAGAGTTTAGTGACTAACCCTGAATGTCTTTTTAAATCTTATCCAACCCAGTCTTTAGTAATGCTCTCACCTTTAATTAAGTATTTTCATTAAAGTATTTCTACGATTTCCTAAGAATCTAAACATTCGTTTGACTGCTTTTTTACAGACTGTCAGAGGATGAGGCTTCATCATCACTGGGTATATAAATGTCTAGCTCCAGTCTTTGAAATCAACCAGACAAGATCACACATCACGCTCTTCAAATAGCACATTTTGGGGGGTTGGGATCAGGTGTGTTACCCTTCAGTTGTTGTAGAGTTGACTGGACTCACTCTGGCAACTGAGCCGCAGCCACCACAGGTTAAGCTGGGGCGGCCATGGCTCTTAACTGGGTGCTTATACTTAACAAGTGACGGACAGTATGGTGAAGCGAATGTGGCCCCGGCCTCTGCATCATCACCAGAATAAACTGAACAGGAAGAGGAAGTTGTCGTCTATGTACTTGAGCTGTATTTCAGTCTGATGCTCATTCAGTCCGCAGCAAGACACCATGGAGGTCACAGCTCTCTGCTTCAGACTGTGTGAGTACTTCTTTCTTATTTTTACTAAGTTTTAGATCCAGTTCAACAAACCTTCTATGTCTGATATTGTACTTTGCTCCTTTCTTTATCCAGTGATGCTTGAAGTCACTCTGCTGAACAGCTTTACTCAGAGAAGTGGTGAGTGACAAAGATAAAATCCTAAAGATGCTCCTCAGCATTTGGCATCATTCTCTGTATCTAAAGTATGTTTTAAATCTGTCTGTTTCTAAGTTCCTAATTAATCAGTAACCATGTCGCTAGCAAAAAACATAATTTATCCTGCAAAAGGTCCCATTTTAATTTGTTACAATGTGTAGACACCGACTGTGCAATGCTTTTGGCAATTCCGTTTGAACATAAACATCATATTTATCCAGTTCTGAATGTTTCTTCAGTGACACTACAATTTCTGCCTTTGTTTCAGATGCAGCTTTTCTTCGTATCACTCCAGACAGACTGCAGCACTTTAAATATGAGTCTGTGTCTTTTCACTGTGAGGGGTCTGGTGGCTCGACTAAACTGAGAGTGATCAGGAATAATGTGGAATCTGATCCAGTATGTGATAAGAGGACGCCATCAGGGTCCTCCTGCACCATTGAAGAAGTCTATCCATCAGACAGTGGAGAATACTGGTGTGAGACTGAAGGAGGAGAGAGAAGCAACAGTGTCAACATCTCTGTCACTGGTAAGTTTATTTTAATTCATTTAATATTTATTTTGAATTTATAGGTGTCTGAGGATTCTTATCCAGTGTATCCAGTATGACACTCAACTGATAAAATTCATTGTTCTTCGATCAGAAGTTGATCAGGTTTAAACTGTAAATTTAGGTCATTAACAGATTGTTATTCAAAGCATGTTTCACATAATCATGCAAAATGTACAGGGAAGTTTCAAAAGTCTTTGTTTCGTCTCTGTCATTATGAAATCTAAAATGTCTTTGTGTGTGTGAAAGTCTCTCAGGAATACCTTCCTCTCTACATATATAATAACTCTGAAGCAAGTTTAACAAAAGTTAGCTTAGGTAGCCAGATGTTGAGCTAGGGTTGAGCTATCTGTCACAGCATTAAATTATTGCTTACATGAGTCCGGGGTGTTGAAATAATCCGTCATTGACGATACCCGTGATATTCAAACATAAAATATTGATATTGTGATATTAATACACATACGATAATGTCACGTAAAATCGAGAGCCTCTTAAATCATCTCCACTTTTTTCCATTTTTGCCTTGTCTCCCTCCCTGAAGGCCATCTGGCCTTTTCACTATCAGTGGTACGATTCTGCACATGTATGGTTACAGACTCTCTCTCTCTCTCCACCTCCCTACACTCGTACTTTTAGTGTATTTCACTTGGGGGAAAAAAGGAGACAAAACATCATTATATTTTTGTATTGCAACAGTATAATCAAAGTGTACTCTCTTGGCCATGATAATAGTGTAGTGAAACTTTTACGGACTTGTTCCTCAGCTGGTTCAGTGATCCTGGAGAGTCCTGCTCTTCCTGTGACAGAGGGAGACAATGTGACTCTGCGCTGCAGAAACAAGACGGTGTCCACCAACCCCTCAGCTGATTTCTATAAAGATGGCCTCCTCATCAGGAGCAGCTCTACAGGAGAGATGACCATTAACAATGTCTCCAAGTCTGATGAAGGACTCTACAAGTGTCACATCTCTGGAGCTGGAGAATCACCAGAGAGCTGGATGGCTGTCAGAGGTGAGACATGACGAAACAACATAAAGATGATATTTTGCTGGTCGTGTGGCCAGTTTGGCCGCAGATTACACATGATCATGGTGCTGTGACTTATGAAACGTCTACTTGTTTCACACAAATTGTGCATGACAGGTGTTTTTTTAAAGGAAGTATGATAAAAATTGTGACCATTACCTGCATTAAGGCAGGCTGTAGAGCCACCTGGGCTGACACGTGGGGGTTTCCTGCTGCATATCTTTAATATTTACTGCTTCTCATGCATTGTTTTATGCTTTGCAACCTACTCATGTTTAAAATTCTATTTAAAATTAAAACTCCGCAGATAGTGTCATCTGTAGTGTTACAGCACATACCGTTTCTGTCACCCCTTCATCACCTCATCAAGAGCCCCACTCTGATGACGCTGGTGCCCCTCGTGTCCTCATCCTCCTGTGGATGTCCGTCACCATTTTAATGTTGGCTCTGGTGCTGGTGGTGGTTGGATTCCTTAAGATCAGGAAACACAAAGGTAAAGAAAAGTGACTACTTCTAATATACAGCATGTTAATAGCTTCCATAGAAACACTGAAACAGGAAAGCAACTTGTCCATGTTAGTGTCAAGAGCCTCTGACGCTGCTCCCTCCTTCCTCTCCATTTTAAAGCTGTTGTATGCTGTGTTGTCTGATTAGCCATGGCGGCTAATGTTGCTCACGCTAACTGTCTAGTTCACAACTGAGCTTTAAACCTTATAATTCCTGGTAACCTTGAGGATATCATTTTAGCTTATATCCTAATAATGGAGGCAAAGCTCTTCATGTATACCCAACAAGAAATGCACTTTACTCTTTTTTTTCTTTTAAATTTGCTTTTAAACAGTTGACAATGTTGTACTCATCTGAACAGCTTATACATCTGAATTGTGTCTGTTGTCTAAAGCAGGAAGGAGCACACAGAGTAGTTGGATGATATTCTACATTGTTTTTTGTCATTTCTGTGTCTCTGTGCCTGTGGATGTCTATTTTTTTATTTTTCTCTCCATCAGTTTCCTCAAAGAAACCAGACGCAGCATCAAGCTCAGGTGAGGACAGTCACAAAGATATTTATTATCAGTCTTTGCTCCATGTTAGTTTAATTAATCAAAATGTTTGAATTAAACTCCAACAGTTGACCAAAGAATTGAGACTTAATATGATCCTTAACATGTTTTATGTTTCAGTCTGTGAAGAGGACGCTGCAGACGATCCAAACGGTGTGACATATGCAATCGTTGTCACAAAACCGAGAGAGGACACAGGTTTACTTCACTTTACATTTAATTTTCTTTTGTTAAACATAGTGTGAGGACTGTAACGGATAACGTATTTCCTAATTAATAGCACACATTATGAGCATGTACGCTGCTTATTTTGAGAGGCAGAGTGGTTTTAACTTCTTTACTCAGATAAACCACTGAGACAATTAAAATAATAATAATAGTTCCTTTGTGTTGCCGTCTGTCATGTTGAACGTGTCAGTTGAGGTGTTGTTTCCAGTAACGACGTGCTGAACTGCAGGACTGATGTGTGAATCATTTTCTCAGCCTCTCAGTGTGTCACACATGGTGCTTTGTTTTAGACGCTGCAGACACTGCTGATAATTTGAGCCTCAAGTCAAACCACAGCAGAAAACCACGCACAGGAGAAGGTGAGAGGGTCTTTGACGAGTGCGTCAGTTTGAGTATTTATAATGTGCTCTTTAAGTTTATCAGTCCATCAGTCTCTCACTTACTCGGCCAGCTCCTCCAAAACCTCACACCACAAAAACTTTTTCTTCAGCAGTGGACCTCATCAACATGGTCCAGGACCCCAACTGACATGAACTCTTATACCCTCTCTCAAAGACACTGTCTACATGCATCACATTAACGCACACCTTGTACTATTACCTCTGCACATACCTGCTCAGCCATTAACTTTACACATCCCCTGACTGAGTTTTGTCCATCCTGCATAAAACATACATCTCTCTTAATCTGAAGCAGCATGCATGTGTGTATATATTTATATACGTTTTGTATTATTAATCTGACAAATAAATGCAGCAGAGTAAAAACTATAATATTTCCCTCTGAGATGTAGTGGAGTATAAAGTAGCATAAAATACAAATACTTAGGTGCACTTACCTTAAAATGCTCTAAGTTTTACCAGCAGCAGTTGCAGAGTATTTTGTTTCTACCCAGTGCTACTTACTAACAACTACTAATATTTGTAAAATGACAATGTATAAATGCTCCGGGGCAATTTAAAAACATTTTTAAGGGTAAAAAAGATGCTAGAGTACATACAAAAGCAACACACCAGAGCTTGTTCATCAAAAAACATCCTACTATAGGATTCCCCTGGACCCCCATGAGGGGACTGGGTAAACCTCCAATCTCCTCAAATTCTAGAAACATCCCCGAAGTTGTAGTATGTTTTTTTTTTTTAAAAAAGTATCATTATCATATTTTAATTGTGATTTATGTATTCTATATTTGTGTTCTTGCATGTTGCAGTACTTGACCTTTTTTTTTAGTTCTAAACATGTTTAATGTATGCACCAAAAAACAGATAAAGAAAGAAAGAAAGTTCCTTGTAAGTGAAAACCGCCTTGGTAATAAATCCATGTCTGATTCTGATGTTCGTCTCCTTCAGATGAAGATGAATCGTCATTTCAACCTGTTTACTCTGCTTTGACCATAAGTGAGACTCCACAAGCTCCCCAGCAAGGTGAGTATATTATTAAATAACATATGGACACTTTTGCACATTTTCCAAAAAGCTGTGCAGACGTTCACACATTACATTATAATCTGGTTGAAGATCCACAAGTAGACTTCAGTGAGAAGTTATGGTTATTCTGACCCCGACAAAACCACTTCTTACCCTACTAGTGGTTATGTACATTTACAGTGTAAAAGCACATAAATGGGTTAAATGCAGATTTTGGGAGTATTAACTTAATGCAGGTTCATCTTTTCCAGAATATATTCTCCCTTTTTGTTTTGTTTTTTTTGCCAAAGCATCTGGTACATCTGGAAGTGTTGCAGCATGTTGCAGCTGATGTTTGTCATGGTTACATCCGCAGTTTGGTTTTGTCTGTACAATGAAACAGGCGCTGCTGAAACATATCCTCACACCACTTTTTGTATGATACCCCATGAATTTTTTGCCCCATGATTGATGTCACTTATCGTAAAGTTACACGCCTCGTGTAAAGTTATGAATGCTAGGTTTAGCAAAAAAACTAAAAATATGGTGATGACGTACCCTAAAATGACTCAAGGCTCACACAGTTCCAAACACCAGTATCCTGGTAACCATCAGTTAGCTTTCCTTAAGGTTGCAGTGTTAAAAAGTGCTGTTTAGATGATCAGATTTCTTGTGTATTAACATGAAATATGAATTGTACTTGTCTGTAAAACAGAACCCGGATCCAGCACCAAGGGGACCACGAGTCCCACAGCAGCCAAAGACCCAAGTTCAACAGAGCAGGAACTTCTCTATGCTCCTGTCCGGAAGGTAAAACTGACGGCAGCAGCTTCCTCTCAGTTATACTAATCACTCTTCATAAGTGATCTTGACCTCCTCACACTACAGCTGTATGGCAGTGCTCTCCTCTGAATATGAACTCAAGTGGTCACAAATCAGTCAAGAACACAGAATGTAATGTATATGAGTGTAAATGTTGGTCATGATACTGTGAATCTGAAAATAGCCATCCCGCTTCCATAGATGGATGATAAAATAAAGGTTTGTTGGACACACATGCCTTGAAGATTCCCTCCTGTGTTGCAGAGTGACAGAGCTCCAGGCTATAACTTTACAGAGCAGTGATGATGTTTGTTTGAACATCTCCAAAGTGACCTTGAAGGCAACACCTTCAGTTTAGCTGAATGACTTCAGACTGAGCTCTGTTTCTTTACAGTCATTGTACTCGAACTATATTTCTTTACATACTCAACCTTGGAAACACACATCTGTGTGTCGTTAGCAAAGCTTGTTCCTAAGCTTTTGACTGTATTCATGGACTTCTTCAGTGAATGGAACATGTTCAGGTGTCGTCACATGACCTACATTCAGAGCTTAAAGCCTCAGTTTGTAAAAATGGTGAGTAACAGTGACATCGGCGGTCAAATTCTAGATTGCCGTGCTCACTCACGCTCACTCACTCACCCCTCCCGTCGGGTAAGTGACAGTGGCCTCGTAGGACAAAAAGCCTTGTGTGTGTTTTCAAGTTTTTCAGGAGTATCTAGCGACGAGGTGAATATTTATTTAGGAATCTAAACCATGTTACGATATGTTATAGCTTACCAGTGAGATATAGGTTATCTGTGAGATATATGTTAGGAGTGTTTTATTTCTAATTGTTTTGGTAACACGAGCAAACATTAGCACAGTAATGCTAAAATAACATGTTTTATGTGATAGTCACGGCAAAGTGCGGCAAATACAGGTTGGTACGATTATAATATATGCGTTTCCAGAGTGTTCTTCCAAAGGACACAGGGAGATGAGGAAGAGGGAGAGGGAGAGGAGGAAGACCAGGGAGAGGAAGGGGGCGAGGGGGTAGAGGCGGTGCAGGAACGGCCAGGTGAAGAGGTGTGTCTCGGCTACCCAGAGGGAAGAGGAGGAGGAGAGGGTGGCAGCCTTCGCAGAAGCGCGAGAGGAATCAACAGATTAGGCTGTAGGCTAGGCTAACCATTTAGCTGTAGCTCTGGGATAATGTTAGCCAAGGCTAGGATAACATTAGCACGTAAACGTAGCCGTCACTCGAACTGAGACGAGAGGGAAAAGTAGTTGCAAACATGAAGCCAAAATGATTTTAAAATATCAGATTGAATTACCTGCCTAGCAGAAAGCAGGCAACCTCCGCATCCCTTGTGAAACCCTTCTCCTTCAGGATTTCTTTCGACCACTGGAATAAGCAACGCTGATATTCACTCTCGTTTTGTCCCGTCCTCGCTTATCTGATCTTTTTCTTTTATTTGGTGGCTTGGTTTCCCTCTTACGGGGCAAAACACATGTGTGGTCCTCCATTTAAAGTGCGACAGAATCATAAAAGTACAAAGCAGGTTCATGCAGAAGTGCCCCAGATTGATCTTCACCTTAACCGTCTCCAGTGACGGCAAGTTCTAGGTAAAAGCGAAAGGCGAAGCGCGTATATCCCTTTCGGCCAGTGTATTCAAATATGGCGATGCAAGAAGGCAGCCTCCACCAGACCGCGCCCTGCCTGTGTATATATAGAGAAATCATTCTAAGCCTATGAGAAAGTTTCCATTTGTATGTGAATTGCATTACACTTTAGTAAATATATATTTATGAAAGCAATAGTTGATATTTGCTAATAAACAACCACATAAATTACACATTGTAACTTTAAAGGTCCACTGTGTGAGATTTAGGGGGATTTAGTGGCATCTAGTGGTGAGGACTGCAGATTGCAACCAGCTGAAATTTCTCCCTGTTAAAATGAGCAGCGCTTGAGGGCAGTTACTTGCGGAGTCAGAAACCAACAAAAAAGGGCGTTCTTAAACATAAGCTTGATATGCAGCTGGTTGCCATTATGGTGTAATGGTGCCTGGCAGCATCAGGGGGAAACAAGACGTTTGGGTGGCGAAAGTCAAAGTGGGGCAGTGGACGGGTCTCCAACAGAGAGTGGTGTTTGTGTTCAGTAAAATTCTAAAGCCAAACGCTGTTGTTTTTCCCTAACTCTAACCACTTCCTTTTGTCGCCTAAACCTAACTGTGTGTTTATTGTTGAAGGAAAAAAACATCAATTTCACTGCACACTATTTTGAAAGAGACTGTATGCAAACTGTACATTTCCTGTGAAAACAGAAGTGTACTTTGAAAATAGACAATGCATGTAACAGACTGATGCTGACACGGTGTCCCAGAACGTCAACAACCAACACACCCAGGGTACCTTGCACATCGTATGTGAACGTGGAAAGTCCATGACCAAACGTGGTCAGAGTGAGAATGTGTTGAAACAAACGGACCTGGTGATTTTAACTGGTAAAAACACTGAATAAACTAGTTTCATGTTGCAAATCAGTGTTTCTCTGATGCCGTTTGGCATGTTGGAAACGGGTCACTAGCCCGGCACCTACTAATACATACTAACCTTTTCTCTCTGAGATCCAGACATTCAGAAGGTGATTTAAAACTGTAAAATAAGTGAATAATGCAGTTTATATAAAACAATGTTACCCTGATGCTCCTGTCATGGAGGTGCTGTGGCCAAAATGGAAATGCATATAGCCCTATCTAGAGTCGATGTTTGTCTCTGTAGAAAGATGGTGGTGCAACATGGCTATTTCTGCTCCCTATGTAGATATAAACGACTCATTCTAAGGTATCAAAAGCACAACTACTAGGTCAAATGGTCATACCCTCCAGTTGTTGACAGCTCCTGAAAAAGCTGAGTAAGAGACCTTTGAGTTTAGGACCTTTTACCATAGGTATATCTCTATGTGCTCTGTCTCACAGGCCACAGAGAGCAGAGACACCTGACTGAATGAAGACTCTGTGCTAATGTGTGCAAGGGAAGAAGAAACGGATCATGATTACTGTTGTGTTGTGCAGCTTTGTGTTTAACTTATGTGTATCCTTTTTTTATAAACAGTGAAGTTCAATTGATCTCATAAGTCAGACAGTTTTAAAGATATTTAACTCACAGCATCAGTTCCTATTATTCTACCTGCGAAAGCTAAACCACATTGTACTATCTTCTGTGTTCACACGTATGAAGACTAAATGATAACTGATAGTTCATATTTTAACATAGATTGTAATTTTTCCCAGAATAGTGTACAGCCTGGAAATCTTATGGGGTGGTTTTGTCTTGGTAATTTATGAATAAACTGAACATACAACACACAATTTGCTTCTAGTGAAAATTTGCTATTGTTATTTGCAGTTGTAACATTCAGAAACAATCTCTTTCAGGCAAAAGGGGCTGAGTAAACCATAAGGCCATGCAGTCAAAAGAAATAAAAACAATAACATGATTGCAGTCTTTTGACTGTCACAGTGCTATAATGTGAACAGTGCATCCACTCTGCCCCCTGCTGTGAAACACCTGTCATCTCACATAAACATAAACACTTTTCATCCAAGAAGACGAATGTTGTTGCTCTTGTTTTTACAGAAAAAAAAATGTGTTTGTTATTTTTCATTTTAATTTGCATGCTGATATTTATGATTTACTGTGTTAGTGGAGAACATCTGCACAAGCTGATGTGGACATTTATTTAGTTTTGCTTGTGTTACACTTTTTGACAGTGTTGTGTTGAAAGCTTGTAACTGCTACATTACAATCTAATAGTCATGCACATTATTTTAGTCTGCAGCACAACACAGAGTGATCCTACAATATTGCTGTTTATTATATGAGCTAAAAGTTCACGCTATTATTTAAGAACTTTAACCGTTCAGATTATATTATTCTTTGAGACCAGGTGACTATATGAACTATATAACAGGTATGTCTGTTTTTATTTGTTATTTCTATGTTTAATTTCACAGTGAAGAGTTCAAATTAAAATATATATGCTATCTCTTATATTCCTCTACCTGTGTACTTCCCACCGCCCGCCTTTTTCTTCCCATCTTTAATTGTAGATATATAATTGTATTGCACAACAATTGTTTGCTTTGAAACATGAAACAAAATGTTATGCCTCTACATTTAACATAATTGTACCGAAACAAATTTTAGTCTTACTCTTGCTCTTTAAAAAGACTGTTGATCGGCAGCTCTTATTTTTTTTATGTTTTTTTATTTTGGAAGTAAATCAATGTGAATGTGAAATCACAGGACAGCACACACACACACACACACACACACACACACACACACACACACACACACACACACACTTAGATCTTAGATTTAAAAGTTCAATCAAACAGTAAACCTTGGTTTTGATATCCTTGTGAAGGTTTGATGTGGACATTAACTGATTATTATATATCAGATGTGCTTTTATATAATAATCAGTTACTGTCCTAGTGATGGCCAAATGAAGCCTCATGAACCATTTTCTTTATTTTCTCACTCCACCAGATGGCACTCTTGGTTTAAAGATAAAGGATGAAGGAATGGCAACGAATGTGCTTTCAAACCTTTGTTGAACAGACAGCGCCATCTATTGGCTTCAGAAAATGCCGACAGTGGTTCATGAGGCCTCATTTGGCCATTACTACTGTCCACATGTCCCCCTGCAACCCACAAAGTACACCTGAGGCTGAATGGAATGTCTGTACTAAAGTTTCATAGTAATCCGTCTTGTTGTGGTTGAGATATTTCGGTCTGGATCAAAGTGGTGTACTTAGCATGAGCTGGCAGACATGAATAAATACTTTGTTTCCAATAAATAGTTCATGGTTGTATTCAACAGTAGACGAGACCTACTGTATATCTCAAAGTCAACCAGCCGCACTTCATTAATAAAAACCTGCACAGCTACACAGGAACAAGTTAATGATAAACTTGAACACTATAATCCAGACGTTATCTAGGTCAACAAGTTATCTAACTGACCTGCCAAAGTCAACAAGTCATATCAATCAAACACAAGAAATAGTTTCACTTTCATTTTTACAGCTGAACTTCAGTGAGAGTGCAGCGCCCCCCACTGTGGTTAAACTGCAACTGGCAAGAAATGTCTCTGTGCCACAAATAGCAATATTGTGCGACAGTTGATACAAACTGAACCCATGCTGAGATCATACCCTCTGAGTAGGGAGTGCAACACGATATATTTCTAATAGTGAAGGAAACTCTTGTGCTTCAGCCAGATATTTCTCCTCAATTTGAGGTCGGTGCTCTACAGATCAGGACAGAAAATCCATAAACAATATCCGATGGGTCACTTCAAAAAAGACTGAACCCGAAGGAAGAAAACTGGAGCACTCGATGCAATTAAAAGTTTAATGAGGGTGCAAAACGACTAACGTTTTGACACACAGCGTCTTCATCAGAGTCAAACAGGTACAGACGGTTCAGGCAGGATAAATAACCTGCTACTCAAGAGGGCTGTCTCTAATTGGTTGAGAGGTAATTTGAATCTGCCAATACCATAGTGGCACTCATTCACAAAAAATAGGAGTATGAAAACATGGCAGTCATAAGAAATAACAGGAAATGGATAATAACCAGAATCATACAAACAATCCACCTGTTAGATCTGGACACATAATAGAAACAGGCTATAGAAACTTAAAGAAAACATGTCAGGCTCAGCTCATCATTAAGTCCATGTGGTTGAACTGTGTTCAAAGTGTAAATCCAGTGGGCTTCTCTTTTAAGGGGTTTGTTAACGATATCTCCTCCTCCTATTTTTTGTGAATGAGTGCCACTATGGTATTGGCAGATTGAAATTACCTCTCAACCAATGAGAGACAGCCCTCTTGAGTAGCAGGTTATTTATCCTGCCTGATCTGTCTGTACCTGTTTGACTCTGATGAAGACGCTGTGCGTAGATACGTTAGTCGTTTTGCACCCTCATTAAACTTTTAATTGCATCGAGTGCTCCAGTTTTCTTCCTTCGGGTTCAGTCTTTCAAAATTTTGTATCTATTGGATTTAAAGGCATCAATGTGGTGAATTTTGACAGTCAAGTTATGATGGCAGAATATGTCTAGATTTCAACATCTTTGTGCTTTTAATGTGTGAAAAATGTTCTATTTTTACTAATAAAAACACTAGTGGTATGTTATGGTGAAGGGTTACAGTTAAAATACGGCTAAGGATTTGTGGTTAAACATTTCAGTAATCAAAAGAAAAATGACTAACTTACTGATCTGCCTCTGGAGGGCTATTTTATTATTTTAAATCATGTGCAGACAAAATATTCTTTTAAAATTCCCTCTCTCACAAACACGGTTACAGATACACAAAACAATACAAAATACCCATAACGAAAGGAAACAAAAGGTGAGACTCAAATCAATTACACACAAACAGACACAAATTACTGCTTTCCTCCCTCACGATTTGCAAGTATGGCACCCTGAATCAGAGCATTTAATTTTATGTGGGTTCGAAAACAAGATTTCAAAAGCCTTCTGGTAGTTAAATGCCTCTGGGACAGGCCCATTTATGTCAACCCACTGGATCCGTGGCATGCACGATCCGGCCGAGGCGTGGGTGCTGAAGCTAACAGCAACCACTCAAGTCAATGTAAGCTGCTCCACCAGTCCTAGCATCCTATAAGCGGCTCAGCGCTCAGCTAAAAATATGCGCGGGGTCTATAGTTAGGTGCACAACCTAACGCATTGATGGATTGACGCTGACCGGAGTCATTCATTCCAATAGAGGTGAAAATGACGGACAGTAATGGACTAGCGTGCAGCACAGCAGCGTTTTGTTGACCATCGGACCGTGGAGGCATTGGACTTTTCCTACTCGGGCATTGACAACATGGGAGAAACGGAGCGTTACGGTGCCAGAAGTAGGAAATAAAATAAATAAATTTATGCAAAAGAAAAATAAGCATAAATTTTTTTTTTCCACTATTAAAAGGGATTGTTGACCATAGGTTGATTTGTATGCGGTTGATAATTAATCCATATTTTCGAATTTTGCACTCATTTCCATAGCCCATTTCGCGCCTATATATCAACTCTTTCAATAGTACACTACTCAACTCGTCTCAGTTCAGTTGGTACAGTGACAGTCAACATGAGAGATCTTTGCAGGAAGATATTGCTAGCTCTTCTCTCTCTTCTGCTAGATCACTTCGCTAACAGCTATCGCTGACAGCACACTAGCTAGCCACCAGCATCTGGCCAGGTCCGTCAACGACGGAACCTCGCGGCATTTTTCTGGGGGTGGGGAATGCATTTAACGCTAGTGATGGCCAAATGAAGCCTCATAAACCACAGTCGTTATTTTCTGAAACCACTAGATGGTGCTGTCTGTTCAACAAAGGTTTGAAAGCACATTTCACTGCCAGTCCTTCAGCCTCAATCTTTAAACCAAGAGCGCCATCTGGTGGAGTGAGAAAATAAAGAAAATGGCTCATGAGGCTTCATTTGACTTCACTATTTAACGCTCCGTTAAAACAGGAAAAATAGGTTGTGCACCCAGCGTATTTCTGACGGATGCCGCGTGATGGCGCGTCAATTTGCACAGACCAAATGAGTCAAACAGGAAGTCAGGAGCAGAAAAGACCAGAGTATGCAGTCAATTTTCAAAATAAAACACCCATAAAAACTCTGGATCGTATTTCACATCGCTACATCAACATGATGTGATGTGTAACTACCATGAGCCGAATGAGAAAGAAAAAGTTTTCAGAGGTTACTTCAATGGTGCTGTGTGTTGCCGTGCAGGCTCAGAGTTGTCTTAAACACAGCCACACAATTCGCTACTGCTGTTTTCCGGGTGTTTCCAAGAATGCTTCGCGAAGTGGATGTCAGTATTCCTCAGTATTCCATTTAGAAATGCGTTCTGCTCTATCAACTCAAGCTCACGCTAGCGCTAGGAAAGCAACATCTGTGGTGAGGCTGGGGAGGGTGAGGGGGAGGGAGGGGGGAGGAGCTCCAGCTCAGTAGGCGCTCCAGCCGGTGCGCTACAGAGTGATGCTCATTTACTGGAGGCATTTTATATCTGGCCAATTTTTGTGAGACTATGGTGGGGCAAATCAGTCAGTGTATGGAAAACACTGTATATATATATATATATATATATATATATATGTACACTGGAAAACTTGTGTCCTTTTCCTCCTTGTGTGGTGTATTCCCCATGATCTGGTGGGTGTGCCTCTTTAAGTGGTCTGACCGGTAACCTGTTGAGACGATTTACTTCCAAGTTCGCCGTTCCGCGTTCCCCGTTGCCCCTCTGACTCTTCAGCGGGGGGCCACAGGGGGGCCGGACTCAGAGTTATGGGGCACTGGCCCCTGCTGTGTGTCAGATGCCTAAGGCTACCTTTCGCTGTGGTATGATACACTGCTTGGTGGACTGCTTGGTGATGCAGCTGGACAAAACCATTTGCGGTGTTATGATATGCTGCTATTTGGCTGGACAGCACCTGTTTCA